ACATTGAATTTCACAGCCTTGCTTTCCCAAAAGTTGTTTTCATCCAGAGTGGACTCCAGTTTCAACCTCGCATCGGCCTTATTAACACCCTCAACGGGATTCGAACTCTGACAGTACATAATGTGAGCTCTACTCATATCATTGTGGGATAATTCTTCTACCAGTCATTCATCACCTTAAACGAAATTGGATGAATACATCTCATATTACTGAGTTACTGGTAGTCTCGAAATAATATTTAATGCGAAAAATAGAATATAACTAACTCACAATTGTTCGCCAGGCTTAAAAAATTAGATCGGAGATATGAAGATTAAGATGGTGTTGCTTTCTGTTTGGCCTCTGTTGGTTCGACCTTTTCGAAACTTGATCTGAGCGCCAGGGATACCTCTTGGAACGTACCTAGTCCCGTGTCCTCTGCCATAGTATTCGTGATTTGCAGCATTGGATCATTTACTGGGTACATTCCAAAACGTTTCGCCGGATTCAGTGAGAGGCGCTATCGTAAGCACAGAGTTACACTATCAAAGTGACAAGTGAATGCAATTCTCTTAACCAATTTTATGTTCAATCGTTGTGGCATCACTCCTCGCCCTTATTTTATGTTCTACCCTCTATTGCCGCATCTCTCTCTCAACCCTATTTCCTACGGCCCGTTCACTTATTTACAAAATTCTGTGCTCTCGTTTTCTCCAATGTTGCTTAAAATAGTGTCACTATAAGTGGGATATAGTGAAGCGTAATAATCTCAACCACAGATACCAGGTGCCGTTTGAAAGGAATCAAGAGCCCTAGTAGAATACGCTTTTTAGAAGGTACACAAAGAAGGAGAATTAATGAGACCGATAGTCAACAAAAAAACATGGACCGACACAAATTGGCGAAATTTATCTGCCTCAAGTGAATAACACATTATCCAATACAATGAATAACTCCTAGGAATTTCGCCAAAGAATCAAAAGTACCAGTTTGGAAGGAAACGAACTTTTGGTGAGCTTTGATGTACAGCCCATGTGTAGTAAGATTGCAGGAGGAAAAGCACTCATGACACTAATAGAGATCTTGGAAAAAGAAAATCACATCTTGGAGACAGAGCGAATCCGTACAGTCTCTAGCCCGATTAATCAGCCTAACAATAAGAACGACTTATTTCACGTTAAACGGCCGCGTCTATGAGCAAATATTTGTTCTACCTATGTGCTCACCACTCAACTTTGTTGGCTGCCTCCATTGTCAAGTTGGAGAAGAATTTCAAAATGTCATCCCAGCAGCCAACGGTAATTATGCGATATTTGGATGACTACTTCCCAATTTGGTCGCATGGAAGAGAAAAATTAGACGATTTCCTGATCTTCATAAACGAAGTGAATTAAAAAGTCAAATTTACCATGGATGTGGAAGAGAACGGACACTTATCTTTCTTCGATGTAGAGCTCATTCTCTCCGAGGAAACTCTCAAGAAAATACTTTTCTAGAAGAAATCGCATGCTGGAATAACTCTTATGCCTCAGCTGAATCATACTTATGGAATGAAAATTGAAATACTTCGGAGTATGGTCATAAGAATCCTACGACTCACTGATCCTGGGAAGAAGAACTGGGAAAACTAACTCAGATGTTTCTTGGAAACGAATGTCTAGAAGAAGCAATAAAACGCAACATACGAATAGTGATAAACAGATGGAAGGATGGAGATTATGAAAGGAAAGCAAGAGGAGCAGAAGAAAAATTATGGATATGTTTACCCACCTGCGAATTGGCTCGCAAGCTACAGCCAATATTATGTAAACTGAGCATTCGCACAATCCTAAAGGAAAGGACAACCCTCTTCATCAGCTTGCCCACACAATCTGAAGAAGTAAACAAAATGAAGTGCTCCGGAGTTTACAGCATAAACTGCAATGACTGTGAACAAAAATATATCAGAGACAATCAGCACATAGTTTAAAGAACACTAGCGACTATACAAAAATGGAGACGGAAAGATCGAAGAAACTTGAACTCATCGCCTTTACTGGCCATTCAATTGACTGGAATGCAACGGAAAAATTAGCCTCGTATGTGGAGAACACCAGTAAACGGAAGGCTAGGGAGGCTGTGGGCATATTCTCTAAAAGAAACCTGATGAATAGGAGGTTAGAAAAGGGAAGAGTCGGCGATAATTTTGCGCACCGCATAGGCAGACCTGGAGATTCAGCGAAGACATCAAAAAGAAGACGCTTAAACTTAGGACAACTGTTCAACAAGAGATCACCAAAGAGTGGCTCATGAGGAACAAAGGGAAGTGAAGAAAAGACGGCTGCAGTAAGAGGAGTCTGCCAAAAATTTACTCGGATACCTACTTGTGTGACGTAGGATAAGCAATTAAAGGCTAAAGTTTGGCTGGGCCAGATATAAGTCACTAGTGTGTGTGCGTAGGTGTCTGTTTGCACTTTTACTGCCTGGGAAGCGACTAGTGACAGGCTTGACTACGAAGGCTACCAGTCAACACACACATACACATATGAAACGTCATCTCAGCGCCTTAGGCTTAGATGGGAATGCCAATTAGAGAGAGGAGTGGGGTGTGTTCTTCGCGATTCATAGGAAAAAATGGAAGCGGTGCATGTTCACACCAGCCGAACACACGGCTCCAAAGAATGAGACACAATGTGAATGGGGATGAGGGAGAGGATAACTGAGTAATGGGTTTCGAGTCTGCGGAGAGGAAGATTTACAAGCACTGGAATGGGCATCATCTGCTCTAAATCCTCGAAAATGGCGTAATAGAGGAGGGGAATTGAGGGCGCTTAGGTAGCCAGATTTCAGACAGCTATTCAGTGATCTTGACGTTCAGCAATAGCCAATTGACTAGCTAGTAGGAAAAAAAGGAAGGGCATGATGTAGTTCAGGAGCCCTGCAAACGGCATCTGGTATCGATTGTGGAGATGATTACGCTTCAATAAACCCACTTGTAGAGACATTAAAGGAAACGAGAGCATCAAATTGTTTGAATATGTAGATGGGCCATATGAAGTGGGGTTGAGGGAACGAGATACAGCACTTGAAGGTATAACAAAAATGGGGGCGAGGAGTGATGACACAGCGGTTGAACAGAAAATTGGCCAAGGGGATTGTCTTCTCTTGTCACTGATAAAATGTAACTCTGTGCTTATGATGACGCCTCTCATTGACGATGCCTGCGAAACGTTTGGGAATGTACCCAGCAAATAGTCAACTGCTGGAAATCACGAATATTACAGCAGAGGACAGGGGACTAGGTGCGTTCCACAAGGTCTCCTAGACGCTCCAACCAAGTTGCGAAAATAATGTTTAATCAACACTATAAAGCTAAAGGAGAATACGACTAGAGAGAAGATCACACTCTCTTTGTCTTCATATCTATAATCTTTTATAGTTCACCCTTCTCTAGTACAAGATTTATATATTCCAGATCACAATTTCTGTTATAATTTTTAGATAGGGAATAATAAGCCTTTTAATTTGGTCTGGACACCTATTTTTGCTATATTTTTTACTGCCATAATTCGTAGTAATGTATTTATGTGAGAAACCAGAAATCTAGTTGTTACAATCGCTAGTTATTGATTTGTATCTTGCACTTCTAATACCATTACTCAAAATATAATGTTAACTATTCAAGACAAGATGTTTCGCCACTTTGTTTTATCCACTTGCTATAACTTTTCAATGCTCATCTGCGCCCTTATTTAGTATCCCCCAGTCGGCCTGCTTTGTCATCTGGGTCTCTGGAACTCGTGGGTAGTTTAGGCGGTGACTTAGACAGTCTTGTTGGTTTATTCTCTGGACGATGGCGCGGAGGCGGTCAATTGGGCCATGAAGCACTTATTTCTGTCGACGACTGGCTCAGTAGGCCCCTTGAACAAGTCAGACCAGCTCCCAATGATTGGCTTTTAAAGAAGAGGTCTGAATCTGACATAAAGACTCCTTTTGTCTTCTCTGTAAGTACATTACGTACATATGCAAATTTTTAGACCTCACCTACATCTAACCTCATTGTCATTTTCTATAATATGTATATTCCGTTTCCCACATAACCTACACTTGTTTGATCCACATAATTTTCTTAAACAGTTGCTTTATCTGGCATTCTCTGAGTGGCTCTGGGCCTTTGCAATTTCACCGCTAAAAGGTAGTGCTGGTTGTTGATAACTTGCAGTCTGCTTGCTACTCGTCATAAATGTTTATACCGCCTGGTCCTGGGTAATTGGCTGATGAGCACCGTGGAAATACTCAACAATCATTCTCTTAATCATATTAAGCTACCTAGAGTGACTAAGTTTTTAATTAAGAAGGATATTTTTACGATAAAAAAATCAGAAAATGTGCTTAATTTAGGATATCTTTCTAGCTCTCAAGTTATCTAAAAAAATTTGAATGGATAACTGCTATTTATGAAGGCTTTTATCACAAGAAGTGTACATTTATTAATAGCCTGAAGCAAAAATGAGGGCTAATATTTTATTTGAAACTGGGCCCTTAACTGTATTCGAATGTTTTTTGCACTCGTACGATTTTTGCAGCAATGCATCTAAATACTAGTGCGACGAACCATACTTTGTGACGAATGGTATGTCATTTCCTCCACTAATCTTGTGCTAGCAACACTTGGGACAAACGGATCAAAATCGTACTGACACTTAAATTTTATTTTTTAAAATATGAAATCAACAGGACACAGAAATATCACGCTACTCTACACTCACTGAATTATGGCGTCGCCTCTCTCCGGCCGAAAGAGCAGTGCGGGGCCGACTCTTAC